ATTCTGATGTCACTGCTGATTTTTTTTTTCTTCTTTATATTATAGACAAAGGAAATAAGTGTTAACACTTAATACTCAACTTTAAAACCTTGGTTTTAAAGTTGATATACATATCAACTTGCTTAAGCTCAAAAAAGCCAAATTTTAAATCAAGCAAACTAGATTATGATAAAACTTCTTACTATAATACAATTTTCATGTTTCTTAATACTAGATTGTTTTTTCTATACAAATGTTGAGAATGACAATCACACCAAAGGAAAAAAAACAAATTTATCCGCTTTTCACTTAACTGAAATTAGACTTGGTAAAATTGAATTCAATTTGAAAATCCAACCCAACTGATTTATCCAGTGATAGCTCTTTTGTGTTAATCTAAAATTCAAAATCCAAAATTATTCAAATTGAAATTATTCGAATTTAAATTGGTTGGGTCACAGGTGAGTTGGGTCACTTGAAATGAGCTATAAATATTTATTTATTCTTTTATTAAATTATTTAAAAATTTATTTTAAATTTCTAATTTCTTAATCCTCAAAATAGAAATAAACAGAATACCCAAGCTCTAACCTAATGCCAGTTTCTCTTTCTCTCAACTTTTTCTCTTCTCCACTCTTGCTTTCCCCTTCTTCTTCTCAAGCTCTTTAATCATTCTCTTCGATAGCACTTACGTCAAAAATTAAATTAGGTGATACATAGTGAGTTGTGTTATATAGTATTGTCAAAAAGATTTTTTTATTAAAAAAATAAAAAATAAAAATGCCTACTAAAAATCAAAAGCAAGTGGTTGAGGTACTTGTATCACTGTTAGAAGCACAATGACAAGAACATCAAGATTTGTTCTTAGTTGCTAATTTGTTCTAAATTAATAATTTGTTCCTAGTTAATAAAAATCAATCCCAATCTAGTTTCTTATTGTATTTGTTTAAACATATTTTGAATTTACTTTTTAAACTTTAATATTGAATATGACTATTTTTTTTGTATAATGCCCTTCTAAATATTAAATAAAATTGTATTTTTTATATAATACCCTTATAAATATTAAATAGACACTAAATATTAACATATCGGGAAGGTGGCCATCAGTCCTGACTCCCAAAAAAAATTTGGAGTCCTAACCCAAAACGACGTCGTTTTATTAATCTCCCGCCCTCTCTTAATGTCCTGCCCCTCCTTCTTTTTGGCCCTTCTGCACTCATCTCCTTCTCCATCTCCATTGCTTCCCATCTCCATTACTTCCCATCTCCATTGACGCCT